TTCTTGTACACCATATTCCTTTTTGTCGATTATTTTCTTCGGCTGGTACCAAGAAACATTAATAACAAAACAGTTTTCAGAATGACTCGGTATACTTGTCGTTAAATATACGTCCATGACTAATTACGAGTATATTGAAAGTACCACAGACATAACATAATATACAGGGTGCTGCAAAAAAGGGTCTAAGACTTTATGGACTTATAACCAAGTGGAGTGAAAAATGTCCAATTAACATTGGTCCTGAAATCAATCCTGTCGAAACCATTTAATATTTCCTAATGAAAATTTTGTCTATCTTCTACCGTTTTAACAGAACACCCTGTATAATAAAGTATTAAATGAATTTCACTAACAAGAGAAATTCGGTAACCCGAAAATTCCGATTGTTTTTATACTTTGCAGGTTTGTAGGGGACTTCGAGAGAAGTTAGCGCAATTTTTGTTTTTGGCCCAATTTCAGTTCTTCAGAGTGAAAACATCCCTTGAAGTTAGATAGGTGTTTCCATATTTCCCTGTATATCTTTAACACTATCGTAGATATAAAAAAATGGTTATAACATAAATTGAATGGTTTTTTATGCTTTATAAAACGCCGTAATTCAATTGATAAAAATTCTTTGTTTAAATAAAAACATCCCCCTCACTTTCATTAATTATCAATTAATATCTTTCTTAGCAACTTAAGATTTACTGATATGTTCTTGTACAGGAATACGTGTCTCTAGATTTCATGCGCCACAGTGACTCAAGACGATAAGCTGCTCGAGATGGTATTTAATTGTCACCGTGCAGACGCCCCCAAGTAGGGCGAACTCGAAACTTCCGAGGCGTAAATACGAAAGTCAGATATGTCCTAATAAAGCGAAGTTTGTGTCGACTTGAGTTACCAGAGACAGGTACACGATTGACGGAATCCTTATCACGCACGAAATTACCGTCAAATTTACTCGCCTCGAAGTTGCTCTTATGCTCAGCAAATTGGATGATCGAGTCCATCGAGCTCTGGTAATTAGATTGCGGATGTTCATGCGAACATGTACTTTTATGGATCAATCTACAGGAACTCCAATCGAAAGAAATTTGTTTACAGACTGTTTCACCGAACTTTATTATACGAAAATGTTCTGCTGTGTTTAAAATGTTTCCTATGAAATTTGCATAGTTTTATCGAGCCAAGCGTTTAGCAACCATAGATTGATTCTGTTGGAAGGGATTAATTAGGATTCAATATATATTTTTTAATAACCACTTAGAATGAATAGAGTAGAATGAATATATTAAGTTTATAGCGTTAGGTGTTCTCTTTCTCAACATTCACCGTATATGTATATTGAATTAATGAAAAGTTCCTTTCAAAAATACACAAAACCAGAAATAGAACGAAAATTTTTCTGTAAAAAAAGTATTTACTTTCAAAATTTATTATTCTCAGGGTTCTTAGTTTAAATTTCACATGATATTTACACATCATCGTTGAAAAATATAGCAACAAAATTTTAATAACATTCACCTAGTGAGAATTTATTGTGGAATAAAATAAGAAGAATGACACTGTTTGGTACTAAATTACAGTTCTATTAAGTGGATTTACCGTTCACTTTCGGTCGATCGACAGTTCAGTCAATGTAGGACAATGAAGAGGGCTTATAAGGGAACATACATTGCAATCGTTTTTTTATCGACAAGACAAAATAGTCAAACTCACATTCCGTTGCTTTTTGACGTGAAAGTCGAGCAACTGTCGATCGACAGTGCAATATTCGCAATGTATATATGTAGACTGTTAGCACACACATATGAATATATAGTAGATCAAACAGTTGGTCATCGACATATAAAGTGATGGCTTTCAATTGCCCCTTTCTTCTATTCCTTTGACTTTCACTGTCGATCAGTCCACTAAATTCTGTTTATACACGGACTTACTTTACACGACTTTGATTTACCACAGTCTATAAAAAAAGTGTTTTTTTAAAAACTATTTTAAAAATGTTCACTTAATTTGAATTCCAAGTAAAAATATTCCTACTTATTTTTCTAGTGAATGACTCCCAATTAAAGAAAAACATTCTTAATTAATTTATTATATTATTGTGACTGAAAAACATTCTTAATTAATTTATTATATTACTGTTCTTATGATATGAAGAAATTCCTACATTTTTTTATTTGTATATTTTTTTATACAGATTTTTGGGAATGTAACGTGCAAAAACAGAGTAAAGTGTGCACAAATAATAGCATCTCTACCACATACCTTCTCTAAGCGCAAGTCACTAATTGATTCTCGGTCAGTAGAGTATACAGCAAACACGATGATTTACTACTCCATAAAATTGGCCATGGAAAATCGTAAATGGTCTTCGATTTAAATTGAATAGCTTTCATCAGTTAGAAAGATAGTATCTGCTAAGTCTAATCTGGTGTTGAACAGAAATCAAATTTATTGTAACAGCGTTACAATATAGTTATTAGTAGTCACTAATAGTTACTAATAAAGTTACTAATAGAGGTACTAGTAGAGTTACTAGTAGAGTTGCTAATACAGTTACTAATGGGGTTACTAATATAGTTATTAATACAATTACTGATATAATTATTAAATAGTCACTAAAAGTTATTAGTATAATCGGTACAATAGTATTAAAAATGGTGAGTTATGTATAATTATTACACTAAAAAAATATTTAGCGATTAAACAAATACCTACGTAACAGGCAATCGAGTATTGTCACAAAATTCCTCCACATGCAGGTTGTGATAAGTAATATATGTAGGTCTCTTTATGAAATTTAGACATATTTTTCAAATTAAACTTATTATGTGTATATAGAAATAAATAGAAAATTCGTATAATCTTTTGTCTAGTTTAACTATGCATCTCTGTAATAATTGATTTCGTATTTTATTACTTCTCTAAATTTATTAGAAAATTTTAATATTTATTGTCGTTAAACCGATGTGTGCAAGTAAATACGTAGATACCTACTTTTAAATAAATTCAGTTTATCAAATCAATTGAAATAAACTGAATCGAGCCGAGCAGTTCTATTTAAAAAATATACATGAATACTTTTCTTCGTTAAAGCCTTTGAATATTCTACGTTTTATGAAATGCATTCTACGACCTGAAGGTGAGGGTGATAAACTTGTTATAACTGTTTTGAACGAAAACCTCGCGCAGGAAATTGCACGTTTATATAATTGGTAACACCTGCCAACAGATGTCAGAGGCTTAACATTGTTCTATCTCTCACGAAACATCGTAAAGTTTGGGCTCCCATAGTGATATAATGGTAAATATATTTAATTTGTTATTTTTACTAAGTACAATGGAAACATTGGGTGGATACATTTAATAAATTAAATATGTTGTCAAATTGTATATGGGAAAAAAATATTTCCATGTACTCATTATACAATTTGTATAAAAATAATTGTTTAGCTTTTATTGTGTTACAAAAAATTACATTACCTCGTTTCAAATTAATACTGTTCACCCTCCAAATAATTTTTGGTGTTACTATAGTATATTATTCATTCTATTCAATATACTCAGTAATAGAAACCTGGCTATGTAAAAACCTTTTTTCTATTTGTAAGTCGACATACGAAGAAGGTAAATTTTTATTTAACTTTTCACTTTGTCATAATTTCAAGTTTTATGTTATTCCATGATTAGAATTTTTGTAGTTTTCTCTGCCATACAACATTTTTGTTCAAATTAAGTTTACTTTAAATGTTTAGAAATAATAATAAGTTTTAATATTTTCAAATACTGACACAATAACAAATTCCTTTCTAATTATTATTTATCATTTGGTGATATTTTCGAAAAATGATATCCTCGAAAAATACAAATTAAACAATAATGAATATTTTTACGTCTGAAAAATATTTTCACTCTAGTTATCAACCGCTAATACCAGTGAAAAAAAGAATAAATTATAATTTCTGTCTACGAGGTTCAGTCACAGAAATTTGAAATTTGAAATTTGTAATTTCCTATAACAAAAGTAATCTTTCTGTATGACGATGTTCATAAAATATTTCCTACGAACACTCATAAGGAGTACATAGTAAACAATGTTGAATACAAAATACAGTAATCGAAAGCACTAATACAAATCACATACTGTCATTAAACGTGTAAAAATTACAATAATACATAAAAATAAAGTATATATAAAAATTAAAAAATACTCCAGTATATATCTCCCTAGTTAAAGTTTCAATTTGTAAGTTAACAATTTTCTTATCGAAAAATTACTCGTCCGAACGAAAAGCTCCTCTGTCGTATTACAAGATGGTCACGGTATCGTAAATAAGTCTTAATTACACAGTTCACTGCACATATACATCATGCATGCCCATACATCTACACCATTTCTTCGATATCATTATTTTTAGTACCCCCGAGTTATTCAACCGCGTAATTCCCCGCTAATCGCCGGCTCGGCATCTGGCACTTTGATTAATAGTCCTGTCAGAGAGTAAAATAAAAAAACGAAAATGTTACAGCCAACGAAAACGTCTCGTTACACGATGTGACTAACTTCCCCTGCCATCTGAATATAATGTATGTTATTAGATTCACTTTTATTGATTGCTCGAAGAAATTAAATGCGCATTCAATTCCTATAATATCAGCGGTACACGTAGGCATCGAATCATTTCGATCCGCGTGATACAATGGCGAACGAGAGTAACGACTTCATTTTATTATTGACGGGACACACCGTAACTGCGAAACGAACTTTCATTCAACTTGGCCATTAATTCTCCTCGTGTCGGTGTGAAATAATCGATCAATCAGCGCCACGCCTCGAGCACTTCGGGATAATTAAAGACGCGTAGCCCTTTCACGTTTATATCCCTATTATCCAATGATTATGATTATTATCTTTCGACAAACTGAAAGCAAATATCAACAATTTAATATTGTCTTTATCCACATACTAACTCTGATAAGTCTAGTCTTTTCCCAGATTCAATCCATTATTCTAATGTTCTAGCAACAATATCTTCCTCTTCTTCGGTGAGAATACTTTTATCAAGAAAATCAATCACATTCGACGCATGTTTCTCCAACAATCGTTTTCTCTCCTCTCTGACACGCTCCAGATTAATTCTCTCCCGTTCGTTTCTCTTCTCAGCAATCTCTTCCATTCTAGCAACCTCGTCCTCTCGTATCCTCTTGCGTGTCTCGATCAGTCGAACCAAATCCTCTCGATACTGCAACTGCACTCTTCGTCTAGCCTCCGCGGTGAGCCTAGCAGTCCTCTCATCCTCTGCAATCATCCTCATGATTTCCTCCGCGAATGCCCTGTCCTGCTCCACAAACCGTACTTTGCATTGTTCCGTGAACACGATCTGTTCCTCCAAATCAGCCGCCAGCTGGTCTCTCAGCTTCTTTCGCCTGGTCATCGATTCTTGTTCCTTGATCAACAATTCCCGTTTCACATCTTCAGCCATCAACTCAACAATGACCATCTCCCTTTCCTCTTTTCGAGAGTTCACGTCCATCAGTATCTTCGCTATTTCACGAATTGCTCGTTCCCTATTTCGCGCCTGTTCCTTCCTGAACTCTTTTGCCTCGATCGTTCGTCGTTCGATCTCTTGGAGATATTCTTTGTCCTCTATAAACTTCCTCGTTTCAGCCTCCATTTCCTCCTGACAACGGATTATTTTCATCTCCTGAACGATCAAACGCTCTCGCCTGATGCTATCAGCCAGCTCATTCTTGGCCTTAAACGCTCGGAATTTTTCGCACTGCTCCCTCATCCTGTCGACTTCCGTTAGAATCTCCCTCTCTCTGCGAGCTTCCTCCATCATGACGCCTCTTTCCTCCTGTTTCCGTGTCATTTGCCCCGTCAGCTGTCTCCTGTAATCTTCCGTATTCTGACGGATCTCGGATCTTTGACGAAGATCCTCCTCCATTGCGGCCCGTTCCTCCAGACGCATCAGTTTCGCAGCGTGTTGGTTTCGTACCTTCTCGATGTACCGCTCCGTCTCCCGTTCCACGAACTGCGCGCGCAGCTCCTTCGCGGTGTACGCTCTACGCAATTCCGCTTCGAGCTCTGCGATCTCGTCGTACGATTCTCGAGTCCGACTACTTCGCCGCCGCTGCCTCGCGGTGCAATCATCGTTCATTTTAGTGGACTCTGCTTCTTTCTTGACACGCCCTTCCGCCATATTATGATTGTTAACCTTACAAACGTGTAACTCTTCTAAGTGTTACGAACAATTGCGTTTTTGGTGAGAAATTAATCACATTTGTGTATAATTATTCACGATTCGAGTTTTAAGTGCACTGATGGTCAGAATATTTGCAGGAACAATCGAGAGTTTTAGTACCCTAAAGTTATTTAGGATATTCTATTTCTCAGGATAGCTATTCCACATATATGTATTAGTATTGGTCACAATAGTTGCACAAATAATCGAAAGTTGTAGTCCTCTAAAGTTATTCAAGATGTTCTATTTTTTAGAATATTTCACTTTTCAGGATACTTATTCCACTTCTGAAGATATTTCACTTTTCGGGATATCACTCCACTTCTGAAGACAATCCACTTTTCAGGATACACCTTCATTTACTTGAGAATATATGTATTAGTATTGGTCACAATAGTTGCAAAAATAATCGAAAGTTGTAGTCCTCTAAAGTTATTCAAGATGTTCTATTTTTTAGAATATTTCTCTTTTCAGGATACCTATTCCACTTCTGAAGATATTTCACTTTTCGGAATATCACTCCACTTCTGAAGATATTCCACTTTTCAAGATAATCCTTCATTTACTTATGAATATAGTAAACTACTGGTCAAAATAGTAATAAAAACAGGATATCCCACTTTTTAGGATACTTCTTCACTTCCTTGTGAATACATGAAATGAAAACTATTACAATACATAAAACTACTAACCAAAATAGTAAATAGTCGTATTCTATAGTCATTCAGGATTTTTCACTTTTGAAAATATTCCATATTTTAGAGTATTCCATTTTTGCGGATATTCCACTTTGAGGATACTCTTTCATTTACTTGTGAATATATTAACCTATTCGGTATAATATATTAAACTATTTCAGAATAGTTGCGAAAACTATCGAGAATTGCAGTATTCCAAAGTCTTTCGGCATATTCCACTTTTCAGGATACTTCTTTCATTACTCGTGAACATATCAAACGATTCGATATAAGTTCTATCGCTTAAGAACTAAATATAGTTCGATTTAGTTGCTGCTACTCCATTAATTTCTGTACAGCGATCCAAAGTTTATATTGGTTCAGCTCCTCGACAATTTCCTTAAAGTATTCCTCGCCTCGTTTTCAGCGACGATTTACACGGTAACCGATTAACGCGTGGATCGATATGACGTTGCGCAATTTTCCGGGTAATGTGGCCGGAGTACGTGAGAGGCAGTCGGTTCTGCAACAAAAAAATTGTTCACACTGCGCAACCCGGACGGTCGAATAATGGATTTGCGTTTCGCACGTTACGCGGGTGTAACCTGGGTAATACATTTGGTGTGTAAAATTGGCGCAGGACTAACGGTACCGTTCGATTCGTTCTTTTCCTCGCGAAACTTGGAACACTTTGAGAACGTTCGCACGGTAAATTGGATCACTGCAACATTTTTTTTTCACGTGAATATTTCACGTAGAATCGTATCCAATTTGTGGTAGTTAACAATTGGGTGACCGATGCTAGCTACGCCTGAGTTTTGCTTTGAGAGACTGCTCGAGGGGTCCAGTGCAGGAGGCAGAGATGGGCAAGTTCATTATTAAAGTTTCGAATAACGAATTGGAGATGAAAAAAATATTTTGTCACTTTTCATTGATTGAACGTGGCAATTTCTGTTTTTATAATAAAATAATATTTCCTCTTGAAAGAGTAGACACTTCGTAAATAATTATTTAATCTCATGAACTGTTTAAAGGTCAGGATGACGGTCTTAAATACTGCTGCTTCTCATCATATATTATTCGAATAAAATTGTGCCCATCTCTGGCAGGAGGGAGCTATCCCAGACAATGTTGAAAAATTGAATTTTCATTCATTCTGGCACCTCTTGGTGTCCAGTTACTATCCCCTACTTTTTCTTGCATTTTCTTATGGCTTGGGATCCTGAAAATATGTTCCTGAAGCATTATGGGGTCATTCCACGCGAAATCACTTTTTGGAGTAACATTTCGGATTTTGTCGACACTTGGATATGTTGTAGTCCGTAATGATATATAAACGTATCTCGAAGGATTTTTGAAAATTTTTTAAATTGTTGATTCTACAGCTGTTTAAAATATAGTATTACCCTTCTTTCCATAAATTATAACTGTTGAACTAACAAACTGATCAAAATGAGCTTTATGGTGCCTACAGTAGAGAGATAAGGGTACATAATAAAAATTATTTCAGTTAAAAATAATATATTTTAACCATTTATTTTTTGCAATTGTTTTAAAGAAATGCAATGTTATAATAACGTATAGTCATTTTTTTTCAAATTTTTAAATAGTGCCCCGCTAATATTAGACAATAACTACTTTTAATATTTTTACATGTTACTACATGTTATTTGCGATAAATTTATATAGTATTATATAGAACACAACTTTCATTGTAAATATTTCAGTAAATTCCCAGTTTAGACCTATTGTATCTTAATGCTTATTTATTCAATTGTTAGTGCACTTTTAATTTCCATATTGAAACATAGGATATTCCGCTTGAAAAATCATTTGACCTTCGAAAATTTATGTGTAAACTATGCAGAAAAGAATAATAATTCTATCCCATGGTCCCCTTAAAATCATGTAATTTTTGCTCCATACAAGTTTCCATACAGCTAATAATTCACGAGTAATTTGAAATATCCAAGTTAACACTAGAACTACCAAGCAAGTCAAAATGACTTGTCAATACACTCTTATAACGGCGATTAAAATGTTATGACAATACATTTTCTCAGATCTTTTGCACCTTCTATTACGATATGAAAGTGAAGAAATTCTAGTGTTAAGTGAATCACACTGTATACATATATCAATGACAAGAAATACTGGAAATACTAGATTTAATAATTTTAATATATTTCTGAACTCGTAGAATACACGGATATGATTAAGGCTGTTGGCATATTGGGACAATTTTCTAATAAAGATTGAAGACAGACTGATTTCGATGGCGTGTTATTACGGGGCAAATTTCCAGTTTTAGGAAATAATTGCGCGCAATCCATCTTCCGTACTTTCTGCAAAAGGTGTGAGATTTAACTCACGCGTGTCCCGACTGACGTTGATATATGTGTTCTACAATTACGGGTTTCTTGTTCCCAGGAAACAGATGCTCTCTCAGACGCTGTAAGCTACAAACACATATCTGGGCAATTTTACCAGATATTCGCTGGCAAATGATGTCAAGCTGAAGACAATGTCCAAGCATTACGAAACACTTTAAAAAGGATCGAGAGGATCGTTAATACGCTTTACAGTTCCATAAAATATACGACTTGATAGCATGTTCTTTAACACATTCGGGACGGGCCCTAATCGTTTCTTTGACCCCATGACCTGGAGACATGAATTTTTCTTTTTTTATGTTTTCAGTGTTAATATGTCATTATAATTATGTTGAAATACATTTTAATCATATTTTTTTAATGGAAACTATAGCTCCCACCCGGTATTGGGATTTATTGCGTTATCTTGTGAACTATTATTATGTCAATAACTGCAATAGTTTTTTTTATCGCCTGAAAAAGTTGCAAATTTAATGAATTTTTGCTTTACAGGGCTGCCATTTCGTTAAGAAAATTTAGTTTCTGCTTCATAGTAGTTCAGAAGATAGACACTTTTGAATGATACGACAACGTGAATTGTGGCAGCCATTCAAAGCGATATGCTGCAAAAATATGTAATAACTCTGTTAATATAAAAGATAATTGCACACAAATTTTACTGTGCGTTCTTCAGATGTTAACAAACAGGCTCGAAAAAATATATGTTCCTTGGTCCAGTAATTCTTAGTTCTAAAAACCGCATAAAAATGATGCCTCCGAGTGGAACTACCCCCTTAATTGTTCTATCTCTACTACTTTCTAAACTAAGAAAATTGAGTTTACAGTTTACAGAGTTTAATATTATAGAAGCAGAAAAGTAGAAAAAAAAATGAAATACACTATAATAGCATCTACTGAGTAGCTGTTTATTACAATATTTAACAAAATTTTATCTCATTATCAACATAAACCTTTAATTATTGTTAGTATTTGGAGATACAACCATTGAGAAAAAAATAACTTACAAGGTTTCGGAGTTAGGACTTAAAAGAATATTTGTTGTTTTCCAGATTGAATTTTCTTTATATTGTGATGAAATTGTATTCTTTGGACCAATGAGACGTCCGTAGATGGATTAACTAAATTTCTTTTTCAAATGGAGTTAGTACGATTAAGAACTCTGGCGACGTTATGGTGGCTTGAGAATCGTAATGGTGTAAATCACATTTGTGCTGTTTCCCGTAAAATAGAGTTTCATGTTTATTGTTTAAAAAACTCCAAATACCTAATGAAGTTGTAAAAACACGTCTATAAGTTCAAAAGAAGAGTTAAAAAATATCTGTGTGTGAAAACTGATGTGAAAAAGGGATTGTTTATACAATCTAAAAGCGAAGTAATCAATTAAGATTTGCACCACTATGGTTCTGAACAGTTTGGTTACTATGTAGAAATGATGAGTACAGAGGTATTTTTAAGAAACGAAGCTTTTCTCTGAATTCCTTTTTCACGTATGTATGTCATATTTGATGGTATTGAAAAACACTGGAAAACAGCATTAACATTTAAAATTTTATTTTCCATCACGGTAGAACTATTCATTTTTACATATAATCTTTTGTATTTTATTTGTTCAGTCTTTATTCCCTATCTTTAAGTACAAACTATGAAACGATTAATAAAAGTAGATACCTCAAATTGGTGTTATTAGAAAGAGAGTACTTGTAATAAAAAGTAAAATAGTAGAATGACACGAAGGATTAATTTATGCAAAAAAAAATGGTAATATTCCATTTAAAAAACAGGTGCAATTGCAGTTTGCAAGTGTACCGATCCACTTATGGAAAAAATAATACAGTCGGATGATAGAGCCTGTTAAACAATGCAAAGGTTTCCTCTACAATTTTTTTCC